CTTAGATCTAGTTAATTGTCAGTTAGTCTACCCTCTCATGATTGGAAACACCATATGCAGGAGATGCAATTGTTGACTTTCGACACTTTATTTCGCCACCCCCAACAATAAATAAAAACCATCATCCATAAATTATCTTACTTTGCAAAATTCTCATTATACAAGTACACAAGTACCCTGAAGTTGATATTAATAAATTTAAAAGATGCATGGGTACCTCATTGACAAATCTTTTGTATAGCCTTGGTATAGGTAAGATTTTCCAACAATCTGTTGGAATTCAAATGGAAAATGAAGATAATGAACAATAATGAAGCTCAGAAATCCATTAAAACAAACAAATATGGTGCAGAGCAACATCAGAGGTGGGATCACATGCCAAGGAGGAGTAAGCAATCCCCGTGCACCTGTCATAATCGGGAAAATGAAATAAAAAATCCGCAGTCAATTAATTGTTCATGTGAAAATAATTACCCAACAATTATTATGAAAACACCAGTCAACATTCAACTTTTTGGCAGATTGTAAAGGAACAGGTGCGTAGTTGTGAACAGGGCTCTTCCTCACCGATATTTGACCCCAGGGCTTGATAGACTGTTTCACAAATTATACTGTTACATAAATATTTGTCATGTATCAGTTATATTATAGGAAAAATTGAGAAAAGGTTTGTATTACACACAAAAACACACCACTGTACTGTAAATTATAAAAGAGAAAGGTATGACTTGACTTGAACTAAGGCCCCTGGGGAGCAATTTCAGGGGGGAGGGGGGCACAACCATACATTTTCAGTTGAACGGCACCATAAACTGCTTGAATTCCTTGACAAGCAAAAAGAAGGAACATTACACATTATCACTGAGGGAGGAATAAGCATACTAGCTATGTTTTTAAAACATTTGCGGCAAAATTATGTGGGAGGGGGGGGGGGGGGCGAGCTCCCGTGTCTTAGAATAGAAGTCATGTAATTTATCGTCAGGAGTGGTTTTTGTATAAAGTGTTGAAAAATCGTATGTTTTGAAAGAAATTATTGATAGAAAGTTACCTGTAAGTTCCTCGAAGTATTTAATATCCACATCTGATTCACACCACTTTTTAGAATGTATGTGCATGGTACAGTACTTCTAGAGTTTCTTGTACTTGTATGTTCCAAATAAACTCGAAATAAAACAGATATACTGTACCAGGATATCTTGCACATCTGCTACATAACTGATAAATAGGGAAAGAAATTGATCTAAATATAAGATCAATATTATGGATTCAATACTTTTACTGTAAGCTTCCATTATTTATATAGAAAAATATTTATGTATCATACCTGTATTTGGGTTTAATATCAAGAGGATGGGCCTTGTACAAAACATTTCTTTAAAAAGCTAGGCAAACTATCGACAAATAAGTTCATGATACAAGCCATTACAAGGTTATTTACAAATTTTCATACTCATTTAAAGTCAACATTTCTTGAATTCTATTTCATAGGTTGCTTCAATGATCTTGTTCCAAATACGGTCTATCGTTAAATCGAGTGTTGAATGGGCTCTTAAGCCAATTGTTGGGCCATAATTATACCCTGCTTGAAAAGTTGGAGGGAATATAGTGATCGGGATGTCCGTCCGTCTAGCTGTACGTCGGTCTTTTACGCTTTGGGGTACCCATCTCTTATCCTCATGTACCACTGAATGAAATTTAATGAGACTTTACAGAATCTTTGTTACATACATGTATACAGTGTCATTGTGCACTTCCTATGGACACATTTTTCGGATTTCCGAAAACATTGACACTGCCATTCTTTCTGTCATATTGAAGGGTGTCCATCTCTCATATGTAAATCCTCTTATGCCACTGAATAAAACTTTATTATACTTTCACAGATTCTTTATAACACAATGCCATTATGCGCCTCCTACATATATTATTAATATATATATTTTTGTTGAAAAGGATGAGAATAAGAATATATATACATGTAAATAAAGAATTTCGTTTTTATTTAAAGTTCATAAAGTATTTATAACTGAAGTATATTGCATAAATTCCTGCTGGTATTTATATCAAGGAACTGTAACTCCACACTCGTACCAGGAATTGTACCAGTAGCTGTTGATCCTGCGACTTACTGTTCCGTAGTTGAACTGTTCCCCAAAATTGGAACGATAATATCCTGAAAAATATACCAGAAACGTAAGTATTCAAATCATTACAATCTTTTAAAAGTTTAAATTATCTAAATTTATATGAAATTTTCAAAATATGACATAACTTATATTAATAATGTCATACTTTGGTTTTATTATTATCGGTCAATTACTAAATGGTGATTTTGTTTAATGACCAGGTTTAAACAACATTCTTGTAGATGTACAAGTCTGATCTTGTTTGCTTGTTCTTGGTTTTTTTTTTTTTTTTTTTTTTTTTTTTTTTTTTTTAACATTGAAATATAGTGTACATAACTAAGCAATACCACTATTTTGTGCCTGGTTTTACTCTAAAAAATTACAAGAAAACCCCAAGGGCTGGTGGCTATACGCCTCCTAGGCCCCCACCAGGGCTTTGCCCTCAACTCACTGGGAGCCTTAGGGTGCATGGGTCCCAAACCCCCTGCATGAAGATATTCATAACACCCTAATCTCAAATTTTGTATCGGTCCATGAGAAGGGGGGGCACCTCATTATGAAACTTTAATATATCATGAAGCGTAATCAAACTGTTACAGGTAACATGTCATATATAACTTTTGCGTATATCCTTTCATAGAACAATCCAATGTAGATGCAATTTCAAATTTTCCCCTTTTTCTCATGGAGGGAGGGGGCCGATTCCATATTATTTGTGCTCAAAATATGAATAAATAATAAAAAAAAAAAAACCCCACATAAATCAAAGTATAAAGGTAAGCAAGAATTAAAGGAATGTATCTGAAAACAAAAGTAGGATATATGGAGGCTGACATTTGTGAACACCTGAGTTGTGTGAGGAGAATATGGCTTTAGAGACATATAATTGGTAAATGATAATAATGTAGATTTATCTGACTTGAAGTAAAGGTAATTAGTTAAGTGAAAATTAGAAGATGTATATAGAAAAATAAATCACATAAAAGTAAAAAAAAAAAACTCAACTTTTTTCTAGCTTCCAATTTACACGTAATGTTGATATTCGAGATTCTCCTAGATTAAAATTACCATTTTAAGTTTTTAACTAGGATAGACATTCTATAGACCTACAAGAAGCCTCACTATGACGAGATTACCTGTCACTACTGGAGCGTACGGATAATCGCCAGGTAAGTTAGCGTGCCCTTCAGATCCGCCCACGAGTTCACAGTGATCCGCCCCGGAGCCTGATCCATCAGCAATATTTAGAAATGTATCTGCTAAATTCTGTGCTCCAAAAATTTTGTATCTAAAATACAGACAACCACTGAAATCTAATGAATGTGGGAACTGTAACGTTACTGCCCAACACAGTACAATAACTAACTTTATAGGTAACTGTCGCAGTCCAATGACTTAAACAAGGAAAGGATAATTTAATAAAGTTACCGACCTGTAACTGCTGCAGAGCATTACAGCGACATAAGGCAGGGAGGTATATGCTGTTCTTCTGATATATGTTATGCCCCCGGAACAATTATTCCAAGAGTTGTCCACGGTAACGTTATATTGATACCAACATGACGAGGAAAAATTAAAACACTCTGGAATATCTTTCGTGAAAAAAATCAATGATTTAATAGTCAATTAAATGTTAAAGAAGTAAATATTAACATTTCCTATGCCCCTCATGAACTGGTATTAAAACTAGTAATATAATATGTTTAATATAATGTAATACTAAGTTATTTCCATGGAATCTATTTCTGAATAATCGCCTATGTACGTACATTCTTTCTTTTTATGCGAACTTTTTACAAACTTTAATCTTGGCCATATTTTTTGAAAAGTTAAAACCTTTCATATTTAACAGGTGTATTCCTTGTAACAAGACTATCCTCATGGTACACACAACTTTGTACTTTCGATCTTGACCTTTGGAGTTTGACTTGAATTTGAGAAACTTCAACCTTCGCCATAAGCTGTCATACTTGGGTTTCAGTGTTTCACAAACAAATTTGTCCTTTTTGTTATTATCTTTAATAACAGAGCACACTTCCATCTGGGATGTCCATGTTCCGTTTGGGAGACAAGTAGAAGTTAGGGACTCATATATGTGTGGGGGTTTTATGCAGTGATAATTCAGAACCGTCCCTACTGTTGTGGAGGTCACGGCTATAGAAGTATTACCCCTGTCTGGGTGAAGGTGAGGACAATCTGTCAAGTAAAAAAATAATCAGTTAATCATATTACATTATTTAACTTTTCAAGTTGACTTTTTCCTATTAGGCCATCTTTAAAAATTCGATTGGTGGCCCTCTCCGGTTGGCTTAAAGCGATTAAAACTTTTTTAATCTTCATGAAACTACCGGGTATTATTTTTTTTATTCATTCCGGTAAAAAGATATTGATGTTGCATTTTTTCTGGAAAAAAATCCTTCATACTTACTGATCCATATTTTTTTTCATCCCGAGCTAGGAGAGGACAAATAAACATTAATTTATGGATGACCTTATCATGAATATATCACCTGACTTCACGCAGGCTGGACCTGAAGCTGTTTTCACACATTTACTCTCGGAGGAACAAGATTCATTGCATTCTTCAAAATATCTCTGGAAAAGCAATTTTCAGATTAGAGATTTACATAAACCTGACCAGCGGTAATTGATGTCTTACATACATTTTAAGTTTAACCTATCAACACAAGTCATATGTCCACTTTTTTACCGGTATGTTTTTTTCTCTCAATCTATTTGCATGACTTTCAACTTTATAACTATAAACGTTAAATTGTGAGTGAATATTAAGGGTTTGTAATACATAGAATTATATATAGTAATCTTTCATGGGTTTCAAATGTGCAGTAACAGACAATAATTGACTTAAATGATTATTAGTCCAGAAATATTTATTTTTAATCCAAACAATAATATGTACATTTGTGTATCTCTCTTTTTTGTACTGGACTTAATTAACGTTGCAGCAAAAAATCACAAAACACGCTTACGCGGGTTATATCCAATTTTTCTGCAATGACTGCAACGTTGTTTTAAAATTCCGGATTTGTTAACCGACATTAAATAAAATAATTTTAATATTTAATTGTGTACAGTTACCTTTGGTGCTTTGGTCATCTCAACATATACATATTCCGGGTCCTGGACTATATCTGTAGGATGTTATTCGCCAGTTGATGAGGAAAGTTCACATTTTAATTGTTTTTGGTAGAAATTCAAGGATGCACAAACAGATCTAGCCAAGCACTCTTTCATACACATCTGCAATCCGATCGGCGATATTTTGTCCACAACGTGTCCCGTTAAGCGAGTGTTCGGAGTGGTCAGATTCGAAATGCAAATGACATTTTTACAAAAAGAAAAACAGAAAACCGTGCCCATGAAAACTGCTCTTCTTAAGAAAAACATGATTATACTCAAATTTTTGTGAGGCAAAAATGTTCATCGACTGATATTGATTTGTTCTAGGAAAAATGATTAAATTAATGTGTTTTTTGGGTCGGCTTTCAGTATTTAAAAATTCATAAGTATATTACACTATTTTTGATAAGACTATATTGGGATTTTTAATTTTCTGAAATATCACGCAGTGATACTAATATATTGAACTTGAACTTTCTCATTAATAGCGGCACTATAAGATTTATTATATATTTTTTTTAATCGAGGATCTATTTGCATGGTATCGATGATCATTTACAGCATTTTACAAATATTTCATGTATTAATAATTACAATAACAAGAACGTTGACACCTACAGTTTAACATTACCTCTGCTACTGACTGTTTTGAGCATTATCAATTATGATATACTAGTATCCGTTTGTTTTTAAAATAAACACCTCATAAAAAATTAAGGTCATATAATCATACACACAGATGTTGCTTTTCACAGGATAAAACAACAATTCTTAGAAAAGTTATCTAATTCCTCTTATGAAATACAACTAATCTATCACTTCTTTTATGTTAATATTATATCTCCTGCAAGATAAGTAGATCGATATACAGCTGATATATTATATTAATTTTGCCACGGGTTGTCTATCAGTCAAAAAAAAAAAATCCAAAATAATTCCAGATTCCATGACGGGAAAAGTTTCAATCCTACTTTGAGTTCTTAATGACAACCTCTGTGTACATTTAGTCCTTGGGGACAACATCTTCCAATAAACTGTTGGACTACCGATGGGCACTTATTGTGCTCCTTTAAGAGCCAATTTGTTTTAAAGGAGTAAATATGGTAAGAGCCGATTTTGGCCCCCTATAAATCAACATTTTAAAATGATATTCAGATATGTTTAATTGATATTTATTTTGTAGAAAAGATTATATAAGAAATATTTCCAATATATTTTTCACATTTATAGGCGCTCACTGGCTGTAAATGACCTGATAAATAATGTTATTTTTGTTATCTAGTAACCAAAAAAGTTAAAAAAAAAATGCCTTTTTCTTGATTTTTTTCTTATGGGAAACATAGAGCGCAGTATAGAATATAAATAATTTTTTTGTCACTAATTAGTATTGGATAGATGCATCTTTGGTAAAAGTTTAAAGAATGTTCTAGTTTGCGCTCAATATTTTCTGGAAGAAAAACTGCTTGAAAATAAGCAGTTTTATACAAAATATGCTAAAATAGCGGGAAAACGTAAACTTTATGATATCATATTTTTAAATTAACGGCATTTTGATCAAATTGACAATAACTAATAAAGGTCGCATGAATAGCTGTACAGATTAAAACTATATATATATAGTAACAAGCTAATTCAGAGAATTTGTGTCCCCCGCTTAGGGAAAAAGTAAACCATGCGCAGTTCGTGTTCCATCAGTTAAGTAAAGAATTATTAAATGTATACATGTATACTGAAGCAAATAAAATACATGGATGTCAATTTGCATATAAAGATTTGATTGCTTATTCTTTATTATGTGTATAGAAGATTCTTTTTATATGGAATATTTATCACACTGTAATAATGATTTTATAACCTCATAATTTTTTCATTTCACATGCTGAATACTATCATTTAGTAAAAAAAAAAAGTATTTAAAAAAAAGAAAAAATACATGACTTGCGTTATGTATTTTTTTCACATCTGAAGCGAAAGACATGACCACTGGACCACGGAATCGCTTTACACAAGGCGAAGTATATGCAGAACTGAAGTCACATAATTATATATGTATATATTCATGTTTTCATGTTCGGTATTCTCAAAATTTTACACAATCCTTGGTGTTTGATTTATTTAGCCTTTATTAAACAGTTCTAAAAGATATAATAAGAATATGAATCCGTGAGCTTTTAAAATAAACACCCATGCGCTAAAAATTCATGTTATATATAATGACACACAGAGCTGTTGTTTTGAGACAGAGATAAATTTTGGTATAAAAAATTGCATAATTGCAAAATCTTCTTTAATGTTTATATTATTACACACAACAAGTATAAATTTAGACCTTATATACCTCAAAATCAATGTATTCTTTTTAGGCCACGGAGTTGTTATATAAAATTTCACTGCAATAGTTTAAATTTGTAGTCTGTGGAAAGATAAGTCTTTTAAAACAGAATTTGCTTATTTATGACCTTACCTTTTACCTCAAAATCAATTTTTTGAGCCGCCTTTCTTAAATTTCATTTAAAGTCAAAGGGTTTTGAAATCGTGTGGAAAGAAAACACCTACTGACAGACAGAAAAAGAAAATACTTGCTGTGTAAACAAATTCCACATTAATATACTTTTCAAGCGGGGGACAAAAAGATATTCATTTTAAGGGGTCATTTGAGACTCTTATCATTTATTACTCTTTATATTCCTTTGAAGTTGAATATAAAAATATCCATTAGAAAAAGAAAACACTAGCTGTGTCAACCAATTCGACATTTAGATATATTTACGACTTTTTGTCCCCCGCTTGAAAAGTGGGGGATATTAATGTTTAATATCTCTTTCTGTCTGTCTGTAACGCTTTCGTTTCCACACGATATCTCGAGAATAGAGCTTTTGCAATGAAATTTAGCATAGCAACTCCCTATGAACTAAAGAAGACCCCTATTGATTTTGAGGTCAAAGGTCAAGGTCATAAATAAGCAAATTCTGTCTGTTAAAACACTTTCGTTTCCACACGATATCTCTAGAATCATTTGAGCTATTGCAATGAAATTTTATATAACAACTCCCTTTGGCCTAATAAAGACCCCTATTGATTTTGAGGTCAAAAGGTCAAAGTTCAAGGTCGTAAATTTATACATTCTGTCTGTGTGTAATACTATTATTTCCGGGCGATATTTCAAGAAGATTTTGAGCTTATGCAATGTAATTTTATATCAAAACTCCCTAGGACATCTCTCGCCCCTATCAAAATGCCCCGCCCCGTTTGTTTTATTAGTATTTATAGTATTACATGTCGCTATTTTTAGCGCAGGGGCATGAGGAGAGTTATTGTGTATAAAACAGGTTCTCGGCGGACTTTATATTCTTATTACATCTATTAGAACTTTTTAATAAAGATTAAATAAATCAAACACCATGGATTGTGTAAAATTTTGAGAATAACGAACATGAAAACGTGAATAAATTATATATGTATATATTCTGCATATACTTCACGCTCAAAGTAAAGCGATTCCGTGGTCTAGTGGTTATTTCTCTCTCGCTTTTGTAGAGGTCCCGGCATTTCCTGTGGTCCTTTTTATTTTTTTTTTAATACTTTTTTTTGAACTACATGATAGTATTCAGCATGTGAAATGAAAAATTTATGAGGTTATAAAATCATCATTACAGTGTGATAAATATTCCATATAAAAAATCTTCTATACACATAATGAAGAATAAGCAATCAAATCTTTATATGCATATTGACATACATGTATTTTATTTGATATACATGTATACAGTTAATAAAACTCACTGAAATCAAATTCAGAAATCCCATGAACAACATACCGCAGATCTTCTAATAGCAAAAAAGCAAGGTGTCCTTGAAATTCCAGAGGTTGAGTAAGAAGAGTTTTTAAAAACTGCATACATGCATTACATTTTTATGCGGTCCGTATATTGTTTTTGTCCTAGCTGTCTGTCTGTTTATATGTCTGTTGTCAACTTTAACCTTCGCAATAACTTTTGAACCGTGAAAGTTACAGACTTCATATTTGGTATGCATACTCCACCAAGCTCTTTTAAATGACACCAAGATCATTGAACTTGATACCTTGACAATGACGTATATGCTAAAAATAGCATTTTCGAACTTTTGCCATAACTTTGGAGCGATGAAGCGATAACGATGAAGCGATGGTGCATATTTGATATTACTACTTCACTAACTAAGCTCTTTCGAATGACACCAAGATCAATGACCTTTTGGCCTTGACTGTGACCTATATAATAAAAAAAGCTTTTTCGAACTTTGTTGCCGCCGGGTGCATAGTGTTTCACAAACACATCCTGTTCGCCATTACTTTTGAACTTTTGGAGATAGAAACTTCAGATTTGGTATGCTAATTTTAAAAGTTCTTTCAAATGACACCAAGATCAATGAGCTTGTGACCTTGACTGTGACCTACCGGTATATGCTAAAAATAGTTTTTGGAACTTTGTTGCCACCGGGCGCATGGTGTTTTACAAACACATCTTGTTTTCCTTCGGGTGTATGTTTATTTTTCAAGATAAAAAAACTAATATTTACATCCACTGAATATTTTCTCCTTTATTTCTTAAGAAAACCCATTGCGTTAATCACTGCATGAACTACATAAGGCATGTCGCCTGTACAGATTTCTTGATCAGTGGCTGTTCCATCAATGAAACGTATAAAGACGTTATCATAAGTAATACAATAATTAATCTTTTTAATCCTACTTTAAATGATTAATTAAACAGATATAAATGTAAACAATAAAATGCTTTCTTTGTTTGTTATTACTGGAATTAACGGAAGCAGCTATTGCAGAAAAAAATTACATAACCCGCTTACGCGGGTTATGTATTTTTTCTGCAACAGCTGCTTCCGTTAAGTCCAGTAAAAACAAACCAGTAAAGCATTTTATTGTTTAAATAAAACAGACATGCTAATATAAACCATTTTATTTGTCATATACATGTATTTTTGTATAAAAATGTTCTCACGTGATTCATTCTTGTTTAAGGTATATAAACATCTATCACTATATTTCACTGTATACATGTAAGTCTTTATAAGTCTTAGAGAACTCGTCTTTGATGCATTCCAACTACATCATCAGCAACTTATTTTTAGCTTTAATCTGGATAGCAAATGCGTCCGCATTGATCGAATCTGAAAGGATAAAATATTGAAACAAAAATAAAGAAAGAAGACAAAATCAAATATTATTATACTTACATTTTCCATTACAGTTTGATTGTGTGAAACATTAAAATACGATGGTCATAGCTGTAGGCAAACAAAATAATTGTAGGCGGCATTTTCTATACACTATCAGATCAATAATTAGATTTAAAAGTAACAAAAATACATGTATAATGTGAGAGTAGAATAAAATATCTTATGAACCAAATAAAAAAAAAAGAAAAGAAAGAGAAAAAATGGAAAAGAACAAACGCAAAAACACCACTAATACCTCTTTGCATATTGCACATGGTAGTTCCGGGACAGACAACGAAGTTTGGCATCGCTGATTCTCGTTTATCAAAGTCACATCCGGTGGGAGGGTAGAATGAAGTGGTAAACCAGGCTCTGTCGTTAGGACATCCCCCAAAATTGTGGGAAATTGACCAGTGTCTGTTCACTCTGCCACTGAAATAAAGATTTAAAAAAAAAACTTAACTTTAATTTCCCTTTTTATAGCTAAAGGTAGGGACACCTTATTGGCAAAATAAGGTGGGTTCCAAAATCCAACAGTAACCCCTTACAACTATTTCATTTCCAATATTCCTCTTCCCAAAATAGAACTTATATATTTTAACGATCTAACTGATTTTTGCACTAGTAGAATATGCTTGATTTATGTTATTATATAAGTTTCATGATCTAAATAGAAATCATTTATTTAGATCATATTAGAGTAATTTTTTTTTATATTATTATATATCATTTATATATACGAGTCATTTATCACGTACTCTTGTATTCCTTGAAGAGAGAAAAGATTGTATGTTTGAGTTGGTGTTAGATCCGTCCAAGATGAACTTTGGATCCGCCGACTAGAAAACCAGTCGGTATTGGTGCTGTTTATCCCGTCAAAAATTATTTCTTTCTGAACTTTACTGTTGATAATAACCAAAAATCGAACCTAAAATGGAATATTATCAAAATCTGTATTTCCTTACGATCAAAAATTAGTTGTTTTTTTTAAATCAAAGACTAAATCTGCTATAAAATTTTAATTACGGCAGGGACCTATATACTATATTAGTATATAGGTCCCTGGTTACGGGTATAAAAAGATCTTTATTTTTATTTCTTGGTGATTTTATCAAAATTACCTGTTGAATGTCCAGTTTTTCCCAGCTGTCGATCAAACCTGTTCTGTATGGAGTGAAACACCCTGGTACCTTAGCCAGCTCGATGCAATGTTCGGGAAATGCACCCCTGATTTCGTGTCGAACGCCCTGTGATTTGTAGATTTCATAGGGTGAAATCCCCGTCAGACTCTGGGCTTTGAAAGCAAGAGTCCAATCCCCGTCCTGTACGTCTATATATAGGATAAGGGCATTTATTATAATTTAATATTTTATGAAGATTTGTGATAATTATTTATGGTATTTCTTGTGAAAGACAGAAATAATTCGAGGAGAAAAATATATTCTCAATCTTTACAAACATACAAATATTTTAAAAGACTTACATTTTATGGCTGGTTCTGTGTTGGAAACTAGTGAAAAAAAATGTATATTCACATTTTATTTAAGTTTTGTAGAAATTGTTTTCCTGCATCAATTTGAACTAACATTAAATTGTCCATGTCTTTTTCTTAAAAAAGAAAACAGAGTTCAAAGAACAAAGATATACTCACTTTTAGTTGAACTGGAAAGTTCATCAACAGAAACTGAAAATGAAATTTCACGAATATATCAATTGTTATGGTAAATCAATTTAAAGTAGATTATTATTATAAAAGTAAATCAAAGGATTAAATTTGAAATATAACCTAAAACACTAAAATACTACCAATACTACTGCCAAAGCTGAGCTTTATGTCAAATGCAAAGTTTTCTGATTCAAAATTGTGGATTTGTATAGAAAAAATGTTATTTTTTACAATTTGGGTATAAAATTAACTTTTGAATGTTCCTCAAAGAAAGAAGGGGGAAATCCGATCTATTTATTTTTTTGATACGGAAAAGAGCAAACTTAATAACTTTTAGGAAAATTTTACACATGAAAAAAGGAAAATTAAATAAAATCATTGTTTAAAATTTGAAAATGTCTTGGCCTCGGTCCTAAAGTCTATAGAAGAGCCATTTGTGTTAAGAAAAAGATCTGTTGCCATCTACTGAATGGCGTTTTCAGCAGAATAGAGCTTTTTGAAAAATAGCTAAAGGATTATGTTGTTTGTGACGAGCTGACGCTTTGCTTGTCGAGAACTTTAAATATGGTAAATGCTTTAAAATTATATTTTCACGGCTTTAATTTATTATGGACTCTAAAAATGCATATAAAATAAATAATGCTCTTTTTTAACTGTTTATAATAAGATTTGTGTTTTCTGTCCCCTTTTGAAAATCCGTTAAACGTCGGCGATGTGTATTGCAGTTGACCGACTTTAGCGTGGGAGAGACGCGATCTCGGCTACTTCCTTTGATGTGGCGAGAATGTGACGAAGTTTGTGTATATGTCACTGTATATATGCGATATAAAATGATGTACATGATCAGTTTAAATTCAAATAATGAAATAATAATGTCTTTTCTTTGGAATGGGACTTTAAAATGTTGCAGCTTTTTTCAAGAAAAAAAAACACATTGCGGGTCGTTCAGTTTTCTGCAAGAGCTGCAATGTTAATTCTAGAACAAACAAACATTGACGCAAATAATAATGTGTCAACATTATACCTTTGGTGCTTTGGTCATCTCAACATACACATATTCCGGGTCCTGAACTATATCTGTGGGATGTAAATCGCCAGTTGATGAGGAAACTTCACATTCTAATTGTTTTCGGTAGAAATTCAAGGATGCACAAATATATCTAGCCAAGCACTCTTTCAGACACATCTGCAATCCGATTGGCGAAATTTTGTCCACAACGTGTCCCATTAA